TGCCGAGAGGGAATGCCTTGTAAACGTGTGCGAGAGCGTGCACGAGCCTATTCCTCCTCGTGCACAATTTTGTTTAAAAGTTGCTGTGTGCATCACTCATAAAAGCTTTCTTTCCAAAAGTAGATTTGCTGTTTTTCCACTATGTCAGGGTCTCCAGCGGTTACTGAAAAAGGGGAGGAGCACGTGGGACGGCCTTATGGAAACATATCACCAGAATGATTGACAGTTAGGAGGACCACTGATTTAGATGATCCATCCTCCACTAGACCTTTAATACGGGACCAGTTCAGTCCTATGACCTGTAAATTAAAAATGCTTTTTTAATGTTTTCAAGTAATACTTGTAATACTAAATACTAAATTTAATTAAAAACAGAATGTGGAGGTTTCATTAACTGTAAGTCAGATACCAACATGGCTGTGATTAATAAAAGAGAGGAGGGAACAGCAGCGTCTGTCAGACCGGAGCTCACCTCTCTGTTTCCTTTTCCGTTGATGTGAATCGGAGGGGGGGTCATTACAGCCGAGTTCTTGATCTGCCTGGCATGAGGGCTGCTCTTGAAAACTCTGTCTCTGAGGCGCACAGAATATGCAGGTTAGTTTGTGCACAGACGCTTTTAAAGGCTGGCAGCAGGAAATCGGTCTCAGCTTACGGCTCGGCTTCAGGTAGGATGGGAGGTAAGGTGTGTCTGCGCATTTTGGCTTGACCTCGTCTGGTGTCGGTGAACATGTTGCGTACGCTGTCCTGGTCGGAGTCTGCATCCAGCGTGTAATCCCGACCTTGAGTCGGCAACGAGATCTTTGGTAAAGATCCCTCCTGAGAAGAGAAGAGAAGAGGCGGTCAAAATCAGTCCGACTGAAAAAAGTCAGAATTTATTATTATCTGGAGACGATTAATACACTGCAAAAAGTCTAAATCTAGATGAGTCATTTTTTCTTAAAATAAGTGCATTTGTTCTTGATATGAGGAGGTAAAAGAGACATTTTGCCGATCGAACAAGACAATTTACACTTAAAATAAGGAAACACAATTGCATTATCTTAATTTAAATGCATACACTGCAAAAAAAGGAAATCTAAATGAGTAATTTTTGCTTAAATTAAGTGCATTTTTTCTTGAATTGAGCAGGTAATTGAGATAATTTGCCAATGGAACAAGACAATTTACATTTAAAATAAGAAAAAAACAATTGCTTTGTCTTATTTCGAGTGCATATTATCTAGTTATCTTGTTTTAGGAGTAAAAATACTAGTTCCATTGGCAAATCATCTTATTTATCTGCTAAAATTAAGGGTAAATACACTCAATTTAAGAATTTATTCACTTAATTCTACCGGTAGATGGTTTTTGCAGTGTATAATCTAATTATCTTATTTTAAGAGTAAAATTACTCATTCCATTGGCAAACTATCTCATTTAACTGCTCAAATTAAGGGTAAATACACTTAATTTAAGAAATGTTTACTCATTTCTAGATCGTTTTTGCAGTGTAACAGGAGGTGAAATGCAGCTCTAGTCGGGCTGAGCGTGTGGTGATGTCATCAGTATGCTTCTGTTCCAATGCTGCGTGCTCCCGTTCTCACCAAGTCCAGACATTCCTGTGTTCTTTCCAAGACCGGATTTGGCAAGAACGCGAGTCCGGACTCGTATTCTCGTGAATTGAGAAAAGGCGAATCCGAAATGCGTCTCTGTGCCATTTTTTCATCCTCATTTCTGTTATTAGACTTACTAATACGAGTACTACTCTTTACTCGGCGACCTCTAGCTTGCTCTACGTTGCCATGACAACGTAACATTGTGATATTTGTGTCGATTAAGCCTCAA